TAAAAAGTGGGTAAATCTCCTTTTAACTTTAAGTCCACTTTCATGACGAACATCTAGTTTTCGAGAATAAGAATTTCTGTTTTTGGCGAAATAGAAACATGTAATTCTAGTCGATAAATCTTGGGAGTCGGGTCATTCGGTCATCAATCGTAACTTACAAAGTAGCTTTTAATTACACTTTTAACATTTTTCACTACTTTAAGTTTGTAAACAGATTATAAAAAACTTAACACCTATTGCTTAAATATTGACATTCTGAAAGTGGACATTGACATATTTCGGTCCATTGAAAACAAACTGACCCTACGAAAGAGAAAATGTTAGATATTAGATCGAATAAGTTTAAGTGATTGTAAAGAGGTTTTTGTTTAAAACAAATTGACGTGTATCGGCGACACTTAAAGCGTCGATTTACACTATACCAATTTTAAGTCAAACCTATGTGATTCGTGCTATTCCACTTAAACAAATAGTTATGTGACGTAACCATCCCAATTATTATTCTCATTTTAAATGCATAAACTTATCGAAGCAAACTGTTGATCACCAAATAAAGAACCAGTCGTAAGTCCCATTTAAGAGACTCCGAGGTTCAAGAGATAAACGAAACTCATCAATTATCTCATGGTTATCTCTTTTGTCAACTCAGTTTCCCTTTCACACAGCTAATCAATGCCAGGCAAGACCCTACTGGCGTCCAAAGTTTAATCTGTTTAATCGTGTATTGATAGTTTGATAGATGAGGAAATAAAGGGAACATTCATTAGACCATGGGATGAACTCTTGGAGGTTACAGCATCTAAAGTCAGATTTAGATTAACACCTCGCTTTAAAGTGATATAAAATGAGAGTTCAGTCTTATCTTCAATCTCAGACCAACTGGGTGCCGTCTTGAAATTTTATTATTGCTCTTGATGACAAGAGTCTAAATGGATTCCTGTGTGCTACAGCCTTGGCGCGTTAAGAAAATATTCGACGGTTGGAGATCGAAAATAAAATTAAATTTTTCTACTTTCTGAACTTGTTTCGGTTAATGACAATACCATGCAGTGTGCATTTTAACAGGACAGCGAAAGGAGTGGGTTTAGTTGTGTCAATTTTCATTCAAGATAATAATAACTGGACATTTTTATAATATAAATTTTGAAATCCGGGTTAGAAAGGGATCGGTCGTCTTTTTTTGTGGCCGGAGCACTGAAAATACTGAATTCCACCAATCCTTTGATGAACGCCAGTGACCTTCAGATAAGATAATTTTAAGCACCACACTTTATCAAGACTTATCATAGTGGCTGAAACCATTATCGTAAACCAGAAATAATAAATGTCTTAACACTTCCCCTTGTCTTACACCCTAGAGGTTTTGATAAAATAGTAATCAGTAAGTATATAATGATAAGTATTTCAACTACAGATCTCTTGGGGCACAATGTCAGACATTAAATATCCTATTTAAATATTGTTCAAGAAATTTGATTGGTTGATATAGTGATTGTAATAATATCAACCAATCAGAGCTTCTAATTTTTATTTGTAAGGTCATGTTTCCTTTAACACATTCTCGATTGTGATAAAGTTTGTATCTTGTATTAATTAATAGTGTACGCCTGCTTATTTATATTAAAGCATCAAAATATTTTGATGACAAACAACCATGATTTAGAAATTGATATCAAACGGTTATTGTTGGGTTACATCCGCACTTGAAAAGTTACAAAATTTTAAAATAACATTAAAATTCTTACTGAGTCACATAGCTCATTAAAATTCTAAACAATAGCCTTACTAGTGGTAATATAATAATTGTGTATTCATACGGTTTTGTTCATTTGTTTGATGTACGGATATAACTAATCGAAGCCTGAATGTTTTGGTACAACCTAGAAAGGAATATCACTATTCAAAATCCAGAAATAGGCATGCAAATTTAAAATAGACGCGGTTTAAATGGAATGCATTATTCAGATATTATTTAGAGAAGCTATTACAATTTGAATGATTTCGAATCTTCCGGTGCAACTTTTAGGTCAATTTACAGAGCTAACCATGAGAACTTAAATATTGAGGGAATGCGCTAATATTTGTGTTGTCTGTACCGTTTTAAAAGGAAGTTCTTGCCATTGTATTGAGGAAATGACCAAGATATTTGATTCTTAACTATCTCAAGCTATTACGAACTAAAATCCAACCTTTCCTCTTTAAACTTCATTTATGGAGAATGTGAAATACCTACTTCGGGATACCTGATTGACTGTATTCGCTGGCGTACAATGAAATCAACTCGGTGCATTTACAAACTTCCGCGATACAAAAAAGGTGACTATTGCAGTCAAGGTATGAGACAGTTTGTAATAGCTGGACATTGTGAAGTTGAGTCGATCCAGAATATCAATATCTCAGAGATTAGTATCATAACTTCTCATTAACATCATTTCCGTCCGAAGTCAGGATATGATTTAATCAATTCAAATTCTACACAGATTGGTTATTGTGTTATTAGTGGTCTGTTCCGGTTGGTAGTAACGGTCAAGGGTCCGACTTAAGTCATTAAATAGTGTCATTTCCTAATAAGGAACGGTGGATTATTAATGTCATTTGAATTCTTAATCGGCCAATATCAACAGTTCAAAGTTCAAATATCTATATCGAAAATATTTTCTTCAACAATTCATATAGGCGTTACTTTATTTGAAGTCATTCTTTGTAATTATATTTAATAATAATGTTGCTAAGATATCAGCACAATTAGGGGACCATTGAGCAACTCTATGCACTATAGAATCAATGGGTCTCCTGAGGCCACCATCCCAATGACTAACTGAACGTTAGAATACTCTAACAGATTGGATCATTTTATTAATTCAAAACGACAAAAATGATACTGCTTTTGAATAAAAATATTCCTTGAAATTATTTCAGAGTCGTAGCACATCAGACCCCTCTGAGCTCTTGGAACCGAGCCCGGTGATCTGACCCCATAGTTAACACATGAACACAGTAAATACTGGCCGTAGGTCAAACTGACACAGATAATGTCCAGTGTTAACTCGACCATATCGAACGTCAACTTTCTAATCCAATTCAATGACCATCCTGTCCAAATAAATTAAGAGATTAGAAGAGAAACAGTTAGTCTTTGTATATCGTTAAGAGCTGTGATGATTTATCGGTGATTTCTCCTCAATGATTCACCGGGAGTATTGATCGACTGCTGAGATTTCTAGTCAGAACTTTAACTATTATTACTTCTAGCAAGAGGACTAATTTCGGCAATTACTATGGACCAAGTAAGAAAACACGTCAATATTGTAACTATAAGTTTGTCTTCAAGCTAGAGGAATAATAATCTACCATTACTAAAGTATAAACTAAATCAGGAACTCCATCAATATTTAACCCAAGGACTGGAACACGAGTGATGGATCTTTTGACGGGTGGCTATCTTATGCAAATGTGCTTTTAGGAATGCCGGCAAGGACAATGGTGTTTCATTAATCCCCTCCACTTCTCCCTCTTATTCGCATTTCTGTTAGGTTTCGGATCGTATTACTTAAGTTTCTGTTGCCTTCGACATGTCTGTGGCATCTTCTTGCTCATAGTCGAAGTGGAAAGAAGACCAGAGTTGACTAGAATTGTCTCAATACATCAAACAGCCTTTGTAGGTAGTTTAAATTTTAAATTGCTATGTGTTAAAATCATTATACAGTACAGTAAATAAAATAGATCAGATAGAAATCTTTGATGTCCCTTTAAATTGCAGTGAGATGCTTATCAGACTTTTTAAGTGAAATTCAATTTTATAACAATTGATATTAACTATTTATTCAAGAATGTCTGATATGCATTAAAAACTTTTCATGTTGCCAAGTTACGAAACGAAACTAAAGAGGTGACCGGGAATGATGCAAATAAAGCACGACTCCATGCTAGAAGTGTTCCAAAACCCATGGAAAACCTCTTCAGAAAACGGATAACCTAATCTCTTGACTTACCGATTGACTTAAATCAACTTAAGAAAAGGATGACTTTACCCTTGAGATTTATTCGGGCTTTGAGTGGATTAATATCGATTTAAAAATTTGATTTGTAAAATTTATAAAAAATGAAAAATCATTTTAGTAAACACTTAGTACTAATTAATTACATACAATGTATTTGTACCAAAAGACCTATTAAGAAATTATTCAAAACGATTAAGACAGTTAACCCAAAGTAGTTAATGATTTGACAATCGGAGTTCAATTATGTAGTTTTGAAACAAATAAGAAAGCGAGCATCCAGTGCATAATAAATCATATTTTCAATAAACTTCCACTGAAACATCGTCATATTAATCAGAGACAATCCCTATTTAATAAGATCTCAAAATGATTTCACCGCTTCTTTACATTATGATTATCCTTTTTAATGTTTTCAGAACTTTGACACTTAATTACCTAAGCATATCTTTTTTTCTATTCAAAAGAACTTTTCAGTGCCTGTGCTTTCGTATTTTTGTCCCTTCCTAGTATGTCGAGAATTCCAGGTTAGGTTTTTAGCAATAGGCAAGTAGGTAACACGAGGTTCAAGTATCAGAATAATTGAGATAATCAAACGATTAATTTTTATTAAAAATTTCAAACTGGGGAGTCGTTAAGCGAACCTCCCCTCACTCCATCCCTCAAAGTAGCCAATGAAGTAGTTTTCAATCCATTTACATAGTTTTGAGCAATATCATATTAATTTTACTGTTTTGCAAATTTTAAAAGGAAATCCTAAGAGAAGCGAAAAGTGTCAACTCTTTCATTTAATTTTGTGCCTCAATTTTCTTCTCTTTTCTATTTATAATGTTTTTCTTCGAGGAATCTTAAAATATATTTCTTATCATGATGTTAGAAAAACTAGAATCTGTCTCAGACATTTCTGTATTCCCCATCGATTTCTTACTGTCGTGAAAATGATTTTACAGAATAGTGGAATGAATGACTGCATAAATTGAAAGAATAATTAAAATAACTTACAAGATCCACCAGCAGCCGAACAATATCCCAGCATAGACAAAGTCAAAACTAAGGTAAAAGCCATTTTATGAATGTAAACGAAGTGATTCCTATAACCGAGTGACTTGGTACCAAACTAGATAGCTCACATGGTTATCATCGCGATAGTCAGCGTTTATAAACCCGCGGTGGGCTGGACTATTCAGTCACGTGATCGAATTTAATCAACTTCCACAAGTTATTGGTAAATTTTTAATGGAGATTTCAAAGATTACAATATAACTAGAGGTCGACCATCGCCTAGTTCGGACATTATATAACACTATTATGATTATTTGATTATTATTATGTATGAAATATAGATATTTTAGAACGACTCAATGAATATTTTATTTATGTTGGTTACCTATTGACTAGAGATCTTGAATCAAAACATTGTCACGCTAGATATGGATTGTTAAAGCCACACTATGGAAGAATATGCATACAAATATCGCTCATTACAGATGAAGCCAGTGCCGTTTGCAATGAGGTGTGTGTATTGGGGGGAATTCAATTTGTACCATCCTCTAAATTAAGGGTTGAGATTTGCTTGGTCAGCGGGCATAAATTTGAAAACAAAAGGCTTATATCCTACATTTAATGCAATTAATAGAGTATTCTATCAATATTATTACAATATTACGATGAAATAATATATATATTTCACACAAAAATGAGCCACCACTGTTAATATTCTCCTTCAGCGACACAGCAACGACCCTTAAACTTGTCCTTGAAAATAATAGCATAATACAAATGTATGAAAGAATATTTGGGTTCATTCATTGCAATGGATACACTCTTTAAACGCCCTCGTTTTACAGAAACATAATGCATTAGCAACAATGAACACAATGTCCAGTGAATAGCCTTTGTGGTGGACTATAATACAGTTCACATGTATTCATCGACCATGCTCAATACACGTCAGTGAAAAATATTAAAAATTCTGAATATTGAAAATCATTCGTAGAAACAGAAGGCGGAAACCCGATATCAATAAAGATCATAGAAACTTAAAAGGGTCAGGGGAAATAGAAAAAAGAACCAAGGCATGGTTAGTTTTATAATAGTACAGTAGAGACTGCCTACACATTAATTTCACTGAAACGAAACAAATATGAAACGAAAAAAACATAAATATGAACCGATGCAGTGATCCGAAAAGTCGAGCTTGCGCTGTTTTGATACCACAGTGAAAATTGTCCGTCGAAATATATCCGTATTCTGACAAAACTTATCGCAGCGTATACTTTGTATCTCGATATTTATCGTACCGCATACCTTGTTTCGCGATATTTATCGTACCGTATGCTTTGTTTGATATTGTTCGTATCATAGCCCTCGTATAACGGTACTTACCGCACATTATACACAGTATGACGATATCTATAGTACAGTATATTTTTATGGCGATATTTATCGTACCGTATATTATTATTATGTATGACGATATTTATCGTATCGTATATTATTATAATGTATGGCGATATCTATAGTACCGTATATTTTTTATGGCGATATTTATCGTACGTTTACTTTGTATGACGATATCTATAGTACTGTATATTTTTATGGCGATATTTGTCGTACTGTTTACTTTGTATGACGAAATCCATAGTACCGTATATTTTTTATGGCAATATTTATCGTACCATTTACTATGTCTGGCGATAATTATTGTATCTCATACTTTGTGTGGCAATATTTATCGTACCGTATAATTGTATAACGATATACCTTCGTGCTTTTTATGATGATGATATATCGTAGCATGGCCCTTGAATAACGATGCGTTTCATACGGTATAATTTGTATGACAATACTATCGTATTTTAGAATAATTTGAAACATCAATCAATATAACCAGTATATATAAACTTGTTTACTAGTATAACTATTTCTGATATTTTGTGATAAGAATGGATAGGAAATTGAATATTCATTCCACAGATTATCTTCAAGATAGGCGTAGAATGACATATGTCAGAAAACGTGAAAACAGTTTTATATCAAAGAGTATCAATTAAATAACAGCTCTAATTTAAGGATCTAAGGATGAGTAGCTGAGGGTAAGACTACACTCTACAACTTACACTTTCTTAAGAAGGGTGCATTATTTATGATTATTCTTCATCTAATATATCACTGGTATTTTAGACTAGAATATTATAGAAAAAGAGGAGATCTTCAATGTTTTGATTATGAAGACCTAAGCTGTACGTCATTGTGACGTGATGTTTTTGGGGGTTTATTTCCAAAACAGTCCTAATTGAGTTGAACCTGTATGTTTCAATCATCTAATGTACCGTAGAATATTCCCTTACAAACAAACAATTTAACAATTTCTACACGATAAATTCATCTAAGCTGATATTTAATAGAGCAGAAAATATATTTGTTACAAATTTCCTGTTCTTCGCTATCAAAATAAACATAACAGTAGCCTTCGTTAATGGACGATTTGGTAAAAGACAACTTCTTCTGTCAATCCGGACAAAATAATGGCAAAATTCTGGTCATAGAATGATATACATGTATATGTAGTTCGATGAGTTTTACCTAAAGGTAATAATGTAAATTGTTGAAACGTTGTATACAATAAAACTCAAGAAGTATATACTATATAGTTTAATTCAATATATCTCAATATATTTAACTCTCGTTTGAGTGCACATTACATACCAGGTTGTCGTTGATATGTTCTATCAGATTTACGATCAGTACTTATGTGTTTTTCAAATCAAAATATGAATTTTACGGTGATAAACAAGCCAATGTAATTTTACTTTTAAAGTATTCATTTATTCTACGGTAAATATTCACGATCAATTCTGATTCTGTCCTGAATTTTTCGTATAGTCTAGGCTGAAGGTCAGATAGATCAACTCTTACAAACCGTTGAACAACACACAGCGATAATACCTTGCGACTATGGTACGTTTGGTCGTAAATCGTAACTCTTTTTTTCTGATACGAAGACATGGTCCCAATTAGCTTTTGTAGTTATCATTTCTTGTTTTGTTGTTAGTTTATTAGAAAAAGTGATAATCGCATCAGGCTTCTATCGTACTGCTATCCTATATTGCTTATATAATAATTTTGAATATTAGATTATTAAAATTTAGTTCTCATGACATTAGTTATAGGTGACCAGTTAGAAATATGTCACCAGGATATAATTCGTTACGAAAATAAGATAATTTGTTAAATCCCACTTTTAAGATGTGACGTATTGTTTGACCAAGGATTACGAATTTGACAATAAAAAATTCCGACCGCTTAGGTCAACGACCAAATCCAATTTGACTAGATAGGTAAACATGATCTCCTTTATCAACAACTGTTATTCAGTCTTCGAAGGGCTCTGGAAATGGCGGCGCAAGTGGGGAAACTGGTGGGAGGAGGTTGACTTTGCCTTTACAGATAAACAGTTTGTACCCTCAATTATACCCCCACCCCCGCTCCCACTCCATTTCTTGGAAAATTTGAAAATATTTTATACTTCTTTGTCCAAAAATATGTTTCAAAATGCACCAAATTTAATCTACACTAGGTGAGAATACTCACAGAACCTCCAAAGAAGGCTTGCACCTCCTCATGTGGAATTTCACCCCGAGAGTTGTTCCCCATTACGTTAGTCTGCCCCTTATTTATACCAGCAGACCAGCAGTTACCACTGTCAGATTCTTTAAGTACCGTTAGTCGCAGGAGCCCTATTGAAACTGCGTCAGGATGGACTCCACCAGCTTTTTGCCAAAATTTTACAGTATGTATGAACGTCAATATCATTCAACCAACCAGTTTTTTTAATCATGTACTGACACTGACACTGAAACCCCTAATACCTACTCTTCTTTTTCTATATGGGTCCAGGAAAAAAACAGCATTGACCGAAATAAACATAATTTAATGAGGACCAAAGTACCCTCGTCTATGATGACGTAGACCATTCCGCATAAAATCCTGAATTACTGGAGCAAACGACAAAAATTTCAAAATTGTCTTTGATGATACATGTATTTAATATAGTAACGAGGTTGTTATTGAAGTTTCCCATTGAACCTTATCCCAATTTGTAAAGAAAGAATATCTGTAAATAGGACTTTTACTGATCTACTTCTCAGCAACTAATTACCTTTTTTTTCAATTCATAATTTAAAAAGTGTACCTTTAATGTGTGAGTACTAAATAGACTCATGTACTTTTAATGTGTGAGTACTAAACAGACTCATGTACTTTTAATGTGTATGTACCAAATAGACTCATGTACTTTTAATGTGTGAGTACTAAACAGACTCATGTACTTTTAATGTGTATGTACCAAATAGACTCATGTACTTTTAATGTGTGAGTACTAAACAGACTCATGTGCTTTTAATGTGTGAGTACTAAATAGACTCAGGTACTTTTAATGTGTGAGTACTAAACAGACTCATGTACTTTTAATGTGTGAGTACTAAACAGACTCATGTACTTTTAATGTGTATGTACCAAACAGACTCATGTACTTTTAATGTGTGAGTACTAAACAGACTCATGTGCTTTTAATGTGTATGTACCAAACAGACTCATGTACTTTTAATGTGTGTGTACCAAACAGACTCTTGTACTTTTAATGTGTGTGTACCAAACAGACTCATGTACTTTTAATGTGTATGTACCAAACAGACTCATGTACTTTTAATGTGTGTGTACCAAACAGACTCATGTACTTTTAATGTGTGTGTACCAAACAGACTCGTGTTCTTTTAATGTGTGTGTACCAAACAGACTCATGTACTTTTAATGTGTGTGTACCAAACAGACTCGTGTTCTTTTAATGTGTGTGTACCAAACAGACTAGTGTACTTTTAATGTGTATGTACCAAACAGACTCTTGTACTTTTAATGTGTGTGTACCAAACAGACTCATGTACTTTTAATGTGTGTGTACCAAACAGACTGATGTACTTTTAATGTGTGTGTACCAAACAGACTCTTGTACTTTTAATGTGTGTGTACCAAACAGACTCATGTACTTTTAATGTGTGTGTACCAAACAGACTCATGTACTTTTAATGTGTGTGTACCAAACAGACTCATGTACTTTTAATGTG